AAAGAGCCATGGAGAGGGTGCCTTATAGGAGCGTAGTTGGGTCCCTTATGTACGGCATGACGAGAACAAAGCTTAACTTGTCTTTCATCATGAGCTTGGTTAGTGGATTCCAAAGCAATCCTGGAGAGGAACATTGGAAGGCGGTTAAGAGAATCCTCAGGTGCTTAAAAGGGACAATGAACTACGCTCTCACATAGAAAGGGGGAACTGAAATAACAATAGAAGGATATTCAGATGCCAGCTATCTCGCGAATCCAGATGATGTGAAGTCTACGTCGGGATATTTGTTTATGTTTGGAGGGGGTGCGGTTTCTTGGAAGTCAAAGAAACATGATATAGTGGCGTTATCCACCATAGAAGTTGAATATGTGACGTGCTGTCTTGCGGCCAAGGAGGCCGTATGGATTAAAAAGTTTCTTAATCAGCTCAGCTTTCATCCCTTGCATTGTGAGGCAGAGCGGATTTTCTATGACAACACGGTGGCAATTTGCGTATCTAAGGAGCTACGATTTCACAAGAACTCCAAGCACATCAAACCGTATTTCTATCACCTGAGGAATGAGGTGTGACTGAAAGAGATCGAGATTAGCTAGATATCGATTGATCTGATTATTGCAGATCCTCTAACTAAGGGGGTTGCCCCTAATGTTTTTGTGAGAAAGTGAGAGAGATGAGGATGAGAGAAAGTGAGGAAGAGAGAATGTAAGGCCTTCAAAGGCCAAGTGGGAGATGTTGGGTTCATGTGGCCTTTAAAAGCCTTATGAGCGATTGTAACAAAACATTTGATATAGTTGATCTTGAACTCAATGGGAGTGTGGTCTCTCGTGGACCATACTATGCAAACGATGTTTGCAGATACCGGGCTGTACTTGTCTGTCTAGGCCAGTCGGTTGGAAAAAACCCATGTTACCTGGGCATAGTGAATAAACCGAGAAGGATTCTAATAGGTCATCCCTTGATGAGGTCGGAGTATATGCCCAGATGAGTAAGCCGAGGGACTGTGTGACCCTTGTGTGTGATGGTGGCCTACAGAGACAGGGGCCAAAGTCTCATCCATGTACCATCACACGACATGCATATTGATAGACCGTTTCGAGAAAGCAAGCAAACCACCTTTTAGGGTGAAGCGTATGAATGTGTGAGAGATACCTCTATGCATAATAGAACTGTGGTCGCATCAAGTCTAGATAACCTTCACTCGTCTTTAGGGGAGAACCTGAAATCCGCAGACTGGGATTGCGACACCTTGGCCCATCAGCCAGACTTTGGTGACCAGCTAATGAGCCCCTACTTGGACTGTAGGTCATGAGCAACACTGGATCAGCATGATAAAGCAAGTGTGGTCTGTAGTCCACAGTTGAAGGTGGAGTGCCCCATTATTGATGCAATTTCTTGACCATATGGATCATTTTCCCATCAAATTAATTTAATTATGTTTCTTTTATGATAGATATTATTTTAGAATTATTATTTGAATTTTTATATACCTTTGGATATTTTATATATATATTTGGGTTTATAAAATTAAAGATATTGATTTTTAATGATTTAAATATTCAAATAATATTCTAAAATTTATTTTTATATGAATTTTATAGATTACTTGATTTTGGTTTATCTCAAATAAATTTGAGATGATAAGTTAATATGAGTTTTAAATTGGTAAATTGATATGGCTTATCTAAATAATTTTGAGTTGATAAGTGTGTCCTCTCTTAAAACAATTTTAGTGAATTTTTTTTTTTTTGAGGGCATAATAAGGTTTATGAATATATTTTGAATAAACTCAGTTTTATTTAATTAATTTTTATTTGATGGGATAATGTTCAAAGGAAGAGGGGGATAAAGGTTCCAGCACATTCCATAGCATGTTGATGGCCTATCTATGGAATTGATGGCTCAGATCTCTCACCCCACAAGTCACCCTTGATCGACGGTTAAAATTCAATCTTATGAGACAAGCAATGGAAATCCAAGACCCAATTTTATGGGGGTCCTATCTCTCTCCTATTTCACGTGCCTCTCTCTCTCTCTCACCTCTCTCACGCAACTCTTACTTTCTATCACCTTTATCCAAAAGTAAATAAGGGGTCAAGTGCCCCCACTCCCTCTCTATCTCATATTTATCTCAAAAAGGGCTCACGCCCCATTCTTCTCTCTCTCTCACTTTATTTTTATGAGGGGTCCTATCTATTCTCTCTCTTCTTTGGCATCTATAAAAGGGGGAGTACGTCTCTCTCTCTTGGATATAGAAAAATTTCATCTCTCCCAATTTTATTCAAAGTCTTAGGGTTCAAGAAAAATAAAGAAGGGAGAATTTTTGGCTCAGTATTTTGGAGATTGATCCTAAGGATCTTGCGTGAGCACAAGGGTTCCATTGAAGAGCTTGGCCGAAATTAGCTTTCTCGGTTGAGATTGAACAAAGACCGTTGATCCTGTGCCATCGGATGGTGGTGATTCGGTGTGGGGTGTAATACGCCCGGTTGAGGTAATCTCCGGCACTCCGCTTTTATTTTTGCAGATTCATCTTTATATTCTCAAGTATAGTAAATTGTTATTTAATTGTAAGTGATCTCTTGCCAAAACAAAAGGGGTATAATTATTAATGAAAAAAAAATATTATTCCCCCGGCAAAAGATCACATTAGTTGCACGTTCACTCCGGACCCTTGCCATGTCAGACTTGAGTAGCGATAATTTGGAGCTTAGCGGTCCAGGTCCCCCAAACTGCAGTCAGGTCAAGTATGGGATAGGCTCGACCCTATCCTTACCCGGCCCAGTTGCAGCCTTAGACAAACTCATGACTCAACTCAACTTGTAGCGAGTAATATGGAATTCACAATCATGGGTAAGGTATTTGGTGAGTTGGTTGAGTCATGTGTGCTACTTGATTTACAAGGGATATAGCACCTGAAACTTGCCTCGAGTCATTCCAACTCCATTTCTACCTCAGACCCATTACTTGGAGGTTCAGCAAATTTGATGGCTTTTGAGTAATTGAAAATGAACTGTGCATAAAAATAATATGAAATAGACCATTTTTTAGGCTCAAATTTCTTTTTCGTTTTTACAAATTTCTCCTTCCTTTCCCTAATCCATCCCTCCCTCCC